TATGTTATTGTTATTATGAATTGGTTATCTAATTCATTTGCCTGACATTACGTCAATTGACCCAGTCAGTCTTTCTATGTATATACTGCTGTAAAATACTAATTTCACCAGCAACTTCATTTGTGTTACCATGTTCTGTTCAAGAATGATAAAAAAATAAAAGTCAGATTTTTTCAGATTTTTGGAGCAAGAACTTCAATGAGAAATAGCAGTGATTTTGTTTGATTTGGGTCAATTGACCCAGTCAGTCTTTATAGTGTTAAATCCTATGGTTGTCATAGTCAAATTACTGATGTACCCTTGAGCAAGGCCCTTAACCCCAAAAGCTCCCAAATGACCATACACTCTTACCATAAGTTTTGCTCTCACCTTTATATGTCTTTGTGTGTGTTATTGGAGCACGATGGGATAAAATAAAAAAATTGTTGTACTTGCTCCTTGTACAATGATAATAGACAACTTTTTTATTAACATAATTTCTAAGAAAATTGTTTCAACTGGATCCTATTGACTTCCTTGTAGGACTGAGCAAAGTTTCCAGCTGGCAGTCCAGTGAGCGCTCTAATCCTGCCCCATGGGCAGAGCTGGAGGCTGACAGCATCATCTTGACAGTGCCTTCAAGTGATGTGCGACACCTGGACGACCCCACACCATTACTGACCCTCTGGAACAGCATCATGGAGGGGGTCTCCAAACTGGCTGCTGGCCCCTCCCCTTTTCCACGCCCCGAGCGCATCGTCGCAGATGTTCAGATATCTGCAGGTAAACATCGCTTACTGAAATTTTTTGCTTATTGTATATTTTTGGCATTATAAGTGAGGGTAATAACTGGGAAATCTGATTTTTTATTACTTTTTACTAAAGAGTAATAAGTGATTGTTTCATGTTTAATTTTCACATGTGTTCAGAGGGACATGGTGATATTATTATGCCACAATTGCAGTGGAAGGGACAGATGCATGGGGGACAGCTGGACACACAACAGTGCAATAAGAGACAAGGCAGTGCAAGACAACAGATGACTCAATATCTGCTCTAAAAGCCACTAGAGTAGTGGTTTCTGGAGGCCGGGAATATAAGGATATGCCTTCTAACAGGCAGTTTAAAGATATATAGTTGATACTAAACAGGTTTAATAAGTTATTCAACGCATAATCCGTCATTCTAAGACAGCAAATAACATAACTAACCAATATTATATAGAAAGTGAAATATTTGGGCCTGTGTAATTTATGTATGGTGATGTGTGCATGGGATCTATATTGTTCTTTCTGTGGAAGAGATCTGCTTGTGATAAAAAACAAATTTTGTAGAAACCTAACTTTCACATATGGTCAATACTTTCTTGCGATCAGTGTGACGTTGACTAACTGTAGAAGTACCTTTTTAGATAGGACCCAACCCATGGTCAAATTTTGTCTCAGATACACAAAACTGTGGAATCACCTAGCATTTTTGGCATTACTCTTTTAAAATTGCATCACGGATACTGGCAGTAATGTTTATTAACAAAGAATGTTTACAAATTTCATACAGTGGATGATTAAATAAGTGACTGGAGGAACTGATATAAAGTTATAGAATCTCTAAAAACTGGAAGATTTCCACAATTTTCACCACCAGTGTTCATTGTCAAACTATCATTTCATTTTTTTTCCCAATAGGATGGATGCATGCAGGGTACCCTGTTATGCTTCATCTGGAATCTGTGAAAGAAATAGCCCAGCTTACGTACATGAGATCTGAAGGCATGTGGGGTCCCATCCATGAGCTGGGACACAACCAGCAGAGGAAGATGTGGGAATTCCCTCCACATACCACAGAAGCCACCAATAACCTGTGGTCTGTCTACATTCATGAGACAGTATTAAACATCCCCAGATACAAAGCACATCCTGCTCTCAAGCCAGAAGCTCGTAAAGTGACGATAAAAGAGTATGTTGTGGGTGGAGCAAACTTAAAAGACTGGACACTCTGGACATGTTTGGAGACCTACTTGCAGGTAAGTCTATGATACGGTAATTTATACAGCTATCTGTAAGGTTGATCTTTGAAAGAAAAAAATATCCATGAGTTATGATTCTTCTTAAAACAGAGAGAAAAAACAGTTTGAATTCAGTCTTTAAGCTGTCAATGTGGCCTGCATTGATTATACACTAAAATGAAGTGGAAGACCAGAATAGGACAGAGCTGTTGGACATCCTTCTCTTGCTTTCCCAGCTTCAGGAAGGCTTTGGTTGGGACGCTTTCATCAAGGTCTTCTCTGACTACAAGGTGATGCCCCACAGTGAGATGAAGAAGGAGGAGAAGATGAATCTGTGGGCAGAAAAATTTTCTCAGAAGGTGAAGAAAAACCTGATGCCTTTCTTTAAGGCCTGGGGCTGGCCCATCGAGGACCAGGTGGCCAAGAAAGTATCATCTTTACCAACATGGGACAAAAATCCCATGATAAGTTACCTTTAAGTTCTAGTGACAACCATTCCGTTTTTCATTTAGTGTTTAATGAATCCATTAGGTGGTTTAAAATTACATTATATCCAGACTCATGTGACAGATAATGAAGATTATGGAAACCCTGTAGGGCAAAACACACCAGCCACCAATATAAAAACAAGCCAGCAAATACAGAAACACACTAAAAAAATAAGAAAACATGTCAGCAAATACAAAAGCATGCTGTTAAATAAAATACATCAGCACATAAGAAAACACACCATGAAATACAAAAATACATCAGTAAATAACAAAATACACCAGCAAATAAGAAAACATGCCAGCTAATATGAAAACATACCAGCGAATGGGAAAACATACCAGGAAATGAGAAAATGCTACAACATTAGCAGAACTGAAATCATAAAGGGTATGTACCTCCTGATCGTCACGTGCTTGTGAATGATTGGACAGGGAGCCTGTCAATTGGCATCCCATTGTCTTATAGGAGTAGGCATCTTTAAGTACCAGCATTGGGTTGCACCAGCTAAGCATAAGTTCGATCATAAAGTTGGGTGTAAAGTGTAGCTTAAATCATATGTTGAAGCTAGCTAGTTTTAAACTAGCACCATGTTCTTTGTCAGTTGCACTACTGCCACTTAAGTTACATCATAGATAGTAGCTACTAAATAAAAATCTTGTCGCACAGAATGATGTTTTGACCTTGGACAGCCAATCAGTATCATTATCTGATATTACTGTAACCAACTCACTGCTCCACATGTTTGTTGAGTTTGGATGATACATACAGTAGCTACTGATTTGTTTTCTCTGTATTTGCAAGTAGTATTTCAACCACAGCTGTAATAAAACTAGTAATGCACCATAAGAACTGTGTTCACTGGGTAGCTTACTAAATATAGTTAGGGATGCAACGTATCACAAAACTCACTGTTCGGCTTGTATCATGGTATTTGAGTCATGGACCGGACCATTTAATGAATTAGCAAAAAAAGGAGACAAATTTAACTTTGCTTTCCAATTATTACTCAAACAACTTAAAGAAAATTCAAAGCAAAGAACTTGTAACACATGCCCCTTTAACATGAACACACAACTGTATTGTCTGTATGAGTTCATTGTAACTCTGCCCCAGAACTTATTTTTCTTGTCATCTTAACATAGCCAAAGTTGTTCTCTTGAAATCACAAAAGAAAAGTTATCTTGGGAAAATACAAGTTGTAATTACAAACACGAACAGCATTTGTCAAGAGAAAGTTTATATTATGATTTAGTCATACATTATAGCTTAACGTGGCGCAACTGATTATTACTTAGTAGTTTGTAAACTCGAACACAGGGGCAGTTTACGTCCACCATAGACTACGGTCAAACTTGCACTTAAAAGGTGAAACCCAATGCATTAACCTTGTGTTATGAATCCGGGCAGCTCGGATCCATAACACCTTGTAAGTTTCCATATCCATGCAGAAAGAGTGATCAATATTCAATCCTGCATGGTACTTTACTTGTGGAAATGTTACATATAAAAGCGGGAGACAAAGAGGTTCCAGTAAACAAAATAGTGAGAATATGGCGTGTCAGGCTGTTGTTCTGTTTGAATAAGAATTTTCTGGAACTTGAAAAATAAAGCAGCAAGGGCCGACAAATAATGACCACTTCATTCGTGGTCTCATTTGGAAGTTTGTTTCATATTGTGCCTTTAAATACAGGTCAGTAAGAAATATCTTAAATCACGATCCCTTTATTTACGTGCATCATAAGAACTCAGTGAAATTCTTGTGCCACAGTTACAGGGGAGGGAACAGGTGCATGAGGAACTATAGGACAAAACAGTATAAACAGCAGTGCAATAACAGATGGGACAGTGCAATATGAAGAGTGGAACAATTATTCAGAATGCATAAGTTTGTGCAGGTTAGGCAAAGTACAAAGCCCTTTGATAAAAGTGCAAACAAATATGTAAACAGTACACCCAAATGTGTGAACTTCTCTCTCAAGGAAAGAGGTTCTCCTGGGAGTAGCGATTGTTTTGTAGGAGTGGTGGATTTAGTGAGTAATTATAGGAACACAACAGCAAATAAATCGTTCTGCAATTTACCTATAAAACACATTGACCTATGTCCGATCAATCGAGATTTGTTGTAATGATAACGAAAACAGGCACAGCACCGTAACATTACCCTTATAGCCCAGAACAAAGTAAAGGCTTGCACATGTCTGGTTGCACATATTGAATCATGTAATGGCCATTACATGATTAAATTAAGATCATTATAATATATAATAATAAATGATTAGTAAGCAAGTAATTTTTACTGCACTTACATGTGAATACACCAAAATATTTAGTTCACTTCGGAATCAGTCATGACGTTTGAAAACCATATAATTCATGATATTCTCATAACCTAGAGCGAGAGGCTCACGTCCATCAAAGTCTTTCAATTTCAGTCTGTACAGTCACATCTAATGACACTTGTTTTGTCTTTGAATCTTTTGCTTGCATCTGGTACCTAAAGAAGCACCTTTTGATTAACTGGTTATGGCTGTTGGCTGATTTACAGGCTCCCTGTCCAATCAGTAACAAGCATGTGATGATCAGTAGGTATATGCCCTTTCTGTCTTCAGTGCTGCTAATTTTGTAGTGTTTTCGTATTTGCTGGTGTGTTTTTCCATTTGCTACATGTTTTCGTATTTGCTGGCGTATTTTCATATTTACTGGAGTGTTTTCTCATGTGCTGGTGTGTTTTTGTACTTGCTGGCGTGTTTTGTCCTTCAGGACTTCTATAGTAGTTAGCTCCATTTATGGGTACATTCCCAACAAAGGACCAAATTACACAGTAATGCATGTTTTTCTGTGACACTGTATCTGTCTGGAATGGGTAATGGGTGGTTTTTATGACAATAACTGCTTTGTACCCAGTTTAAAAAGCAACTGCGGCAGGGACTGTTTAGACCTCACTGAAAGTGATGACATGTAAACTACAGAAGTAGGTGCTTGCTCTGGGACAGATAAAATTATGGAGAGTGAAAATGAATATAATAGGGAGACATTGAGCTCTGGCACTTCACTGTCATCCACTGTGTAGTCTTAGATTTATTATTGTAACCATAGAATTGTCTTGTAACCATATCTTTGAATGTTATGTTTTGTTTAATAATTATCAAAGTAGTACACAGGTCTCCTAATCCTGGAATGTTACTGTAAACACAAGTTCCCAGGTCTCCTAAGACCACTGACAGTATCAATATGCTGTGTACTGTCCCAGTAATTTCATTAAAAGCCTGTAAAAACTAAAAGTACTCTTTGCTAATATTTCTGTTGTGGATGAGTGATTTGAGTCATGCTTGAGTGAACCCTGACTATAATGCACAATATAAATTACAACATAAACATTCTAATAATTTTATTAGATTTTTTTTTTCCTGCTACACTTTGAGAAACAGCCCGATGGTAATGTGTACATCATTCTTCAGTTGGGCTTGATTCCATTTGCATTTCAGTGCCACAGGTTAAATGGATTGTGAGTAACAGTGGTTCAAACAGTCCTGGATACTACAAAAGCAGCTAAAGTTACTGAACTTAGGGAACCAGCAGGAACTTGGGGATGTGACATATATATGGGGAAATAAGTTATGCGGGGGGTAAAAACAAAGACAATAAAATAAATCTGGGCTGCTTTTCCTGAAAGTTATGTAATGTGATTGCTTCCCATGACATAATATGATATACACTGCAGAGGAGTGATGTGCAAGGGTGTTGTCTATGAAGGAAGCCCCTAGTCAAGCCAAAGAACAAAAAAGCCGGTTTAGCATTTGCCAGGGCCCATGTTGACGAAGGGGAAGACTATTGGGACTCTATACTTTGGAGTGATGAGACAAAAGAAAATCTTTTCGGAATGGATGGTGTCCAAACTGCATGACGTCACAAGGGCGAGGAGTATGATGAAATATGGATGGTACCCACAGTAAAGCATGTTGGTGGCAGTGTTCTTCTGAGGGGGTGTATGAGTGCTGCAGGTGTCGGGGAATTGCATTTCACTGATGGCATCATGAATTAACAGATATGCTTTGAAATGCTGAAAGAGAAGATCGGGTCGCCGGGCACTCATTCAACATGACAGTGACCCAAAACATACATCCAAGGCCATTGCTGCATTTCTGAGGAAGAACAGGGTGAAAGTGATTCTGTTGCCAAGCATATCAGCTGACTTCAACCCAAAGGGCACCTGTGGGGAGTTCTGGATGGACAGGCTGAGCATCATTCTCCATCCAGCATCCAAGTTCTGGAAGAGCTCTTTCTCCAAAATGATGAAAGATGTGGCACTATGTCGCAAACTTGTTCATTCCATGTCTAGAGAATTGGTGCTGATCTTAAAAATAATGGTGGCCATACAAAATGTAAGATTTGGTAGTATCAAGTGATCAAGTTTTTATGCTGTTGTAATGTAATGAGAAGACCAGTAATTTGAAAGAGGACTTTTATTTTGAAAGGGTTTGTTTGACCTGTGACCTGAGTTTCTTGTTTATGGTGTGGGCAGCCATTTTAGTTTCCTTCACAGAAGAAAAATGTAATAAGTTCTCACAACACAGAAGTTTGCAGCGCAACTTTATTCCGGTGTTTTCTCACAGCATTGTCAGTAAGTGAAGTTCGTTCATGAGTCATGAGTGATTGAGCGGCAGTTTCAATTTTCCCATTAAAGTCAATGAGTGAATTCTGATTGGCTGTTCGATTGTCTGCCCACTTTTTTTACCCTTGTACCGCAGTCACCCTTTGACTAACTGTGCAAAGTTTGGGGATCCTGCAATCAAAAGTGTCAAAATCGCAGCATTTTACATTTACCCATTGAAGTGAATGAGTTAATTCTGATTAGCTGTTGGACGCACCGCCCATTTTTAAAAATCTTGTACTGCAGTAACCCCTTGACCAACTGTGCAACATTTGGGGAACCTGCCATCAAAAGTCACAATGGCAGCAGTTTTAATTTTCCCATTAAAGTCAATAAGTGAATGCCGATTGGCCTTTGGAGGCTCTGTCCTCTTTCTTGACTCAACTTTCTCATCAGGACAACCTATGATATGGCACCCTGTCTTCAAAACCTTAATCAGTGGCTTGCAATAGAGCAAACTTGTAAGCTCTGTGGGACCATCAATTGCAAGACAGCACTAACAGGGTGTTACAGCAGGGCATGACAAAGGATGGAAAAGAGGGACGGTCCAAGGAGCATCTCCAACAAAAAGGGGTTTATTAACAAAACAGAACACAAAGTAGGAATCAGAAAATGAAGGGACCACGAGGGGTCAAAAATCAAAAGAAGAAGATGAATGTAACCAAGGCTACGGTCACACCCCCACATTAATGTTGTCATAACATGGGCTTTTAACATCTGGGCCAGAAATCTGCATTTAGGTTTACCTCTACAGTAGGAGTGACTTGGTCACAACTGCTGACTGAGCAGGATCTTTTGAACGTACATGAATCTTTAACTAGAAGGACTATAATTAATAGTACTACCTGGCTAGTGTACTTGAATCATTGGAGATCTCATGAATCTTATCAGTATCCAGAAAAACTGCATCCAATCCACCGGCTGGGAGGTAGGCTGATAAGGGTCTGGATGTAGTTTCAACACACTCCACAACTCCAGTGTCTAGAATCACTGCCTCGCCGTTGGATCAATCACAGTGGCAGAATACGTACAAAAAAAAAAAAAAACAATCTGCACACAGCAGCACAAAAATAAACCATTAGTGGTGTACAGTATCATGGTATTATTAACATTCATTCCATTGTCACAGTCAGCACTAATTTAAAAATATATTGCAAATGAAAGAAATATATATATTTATATATTCACTATATTGCAATGATGTCCATCCAATTTGGGGGGATCCCGGAAAGTCTTAGAATGGGCAGTAAAGCATTCTCCTACAGGGCCCTGTATTGTGCAATGGTTTCCCAGTCTATGTTCGGGATGCCAATTCGGTCTCGGTCTTTAAATCTTGCCTGAAGACCCATTACTTCAGTTTAGCTTACCCGCAACCTAACACAACAGGCCTGCAAAGACAGGTTTGGCGAAGCCATCTCCAAACAGAGAACTGCTCCAAGAGAAAGTGGGAGGAGGGAGAGGGAGATCACTCAGCTGGTGCAAAGACGCCGGCAACTCCGCAAAAGCTGGAGGAAGGCACCCCACACAGAGAAAGAAGGTCTGAAAGTCCTGTGGGAGGAGGTGAGGCAAAGGCTTGCCAGCCTCCGCAGAGCAGAACGCATCCGCAAGCGGAGCAAGCGAAAGCAGAAAGAGCGAGCCAGCTTCTTCAAGGACCCCTTCAGACACGCCAGGCAAGTGCTGGAGGGAAACAAGTCCGGGAAGCTCGAAATCACCAGGGAGCAAATGGAACAGCACGTCAAAAGGCAGTACAGTGACCGGTTAAGAAACATCCCACTAGGAACACCAGGGTACGTGCCCCGGCCTGCGCCACCGACTGCTGAGTTCAACATCATGCCCCCCAAGCTCAGCGAAGTCAGGCAAGCCGTGAAGAAGGCAAGGTCCTCTTCAGCACCAGGCCCCAACGGAGTCCCCTACAAGCTATATAAGAACTGTCCCAAGGTACTGGAGCTGCTATGGTATCTAATGAGAACTGTCTGGAAGAAGCAGCTCATTCCATCAGAGTGGCAAAGGGCCGTAGCGGTCTTCATCCCAAAGGAAGTAAACTCCAAGGATATCGGCCAATTTAGAAACATCGCCCTGCTGAATGTGCAAGGCAAAATCTTCTTCTCAGTGCTGGCCAAGAGGATGACCGCCTACCTGCTAGAGAATGGCTATATTGACACCAGCTGCCAGAAAGCAGGGGTTCCAGGTTTCCCAGGGTGCGTAGAGCACTCTACGATGATCTGGGACCAGATCCAGAAGGCCAAGCGGGAGAAGACTGATCTGCATGTAGTTTGGCTCGACCTCGCTAACGCATATGGTTCAGTTCCACATCAGCTGATCAACTATGCATTGGAGTTCTTCCACATGCCTCCTTGCATCAAGAACCTGGTAGCGCTATACTTCAGTGACCTGCAGATGTGCTTTGCCCTCCAAGACTTCACCACTGGGTGGCAGCAGTTGGAGGTGGGAATTGCAATGGGGTGTGCCATCTCTCCAATCCTGTTTGTGGCAGCCTTTGAGATAATACTTATCGGAGTAAGACAAGTGGTTGGAGGAATTAAATTACCATCTGGTCAGAGGTTACCCCCAGTGAGGAGCTACATGGATGATGTAACCAGCCTCCTTCAGACAGCAGCATGTACATCCCGGCTGCTGGGAAGAGTGGACGAGTTGATGTCATGGGCCAGAATGAAGATCAAACCTTCCAAATCTCGTAGCCTGTCACTCAGAAGGGGAATTAGAAATGACAACATCACCTTCACCGTCGGGGGAGAGAAAATCCCCCTTCTGGCTGAACAACCCATCAGAAGCCTGGGAAGGCAGTATACCGCAGATCTGTCAGACAAGCACATGGGGAGGTCCGTCATGAAACAGCTCACGGATGGCCTGCAAAAGATCGACCGGAGTCAACTCCCCGGAAAGTACAAGGTTTGGTGCTACCAGTTCACACTCTTCAGGAGGGTGATGTGGCCCCTGAAAATGAGTGAGATTCCCTCATCCACTGTGAGTAAGATGGACGCAAAAGCCAACTCGTTCATCCGGAAATGGCTGGGACTGCCACGGTGCCTTTCCGAAACGGGCCTCTTTGGGAAGAACACACTACAACTCCCACTGCAGTCCATCAGTCTGGGTTACAAGCAAGAAAAGTCCAGGCTGGTGCTCGAGCTAAGGGAATCCACCGACCAGTCAGTGAGGAATGCCAACGCCATGGTTTCCACTGGCCGGAAGTGGAATGCCCAAGCGGAGGTTGACCAAGCCGTCAGCAGGCTGCAACACCAGGAGATCATGGGCAGAGTCCAGGTCGGAAGAGCAGGGCTAGGATGGGGAGAAGCGCCACGGTTCTGGTCCAAGGCTAACCGCAAGGAGAGGAAGGAGATGGTGGTGGCAGAGGTGTCGAGGACAGAGGAAGAGCGCTATAAGATCAAGGCCGTGTCGCAGGGCCGACAAGGAGGCTGGACGACTTGGGAGGGAGTCGTCAGCCGGAACATCAGTTGGTCGGATCTGTGGAGGATCCCACAGGCAAGGATTAGCTTCCTGATTCGAGCAACTTACGACACGCTTCCCTGTCCTCGTAACCTCAACCAGTGGTTTGGGAATGAGGAAAGTTGCGCACTCTGCAACGCGCCCAAC